GCGAATTACTAACCAGAATACAAAAGCCTAGTGCCCCATATCGCCGACACTGCGAATCTATCATGGAAATATAGGCGTGAATCTTTGAAACATGAATGTCAATCCTGCTCGCGGGTAATGCCGAATATATGTCAATTTGATTATTGATCTACACTTACCTTAAACATAAAATTACCAACAAGACACAGAGTGAGTGAAGGGGACGGAGGGAGATGAGTATGAAGGCTACTGAAATAGGCTGTGTCTGTCTGTGTGTAATAACACCTCATCATCTCTCAAGTGCGCCTCCTTAAGAAACTGCTGCCGCCACAAGCATATATACGAACATCTTAATTTTAATACAAATCACCCAACAATCTTCCTTCCGTTTCCTTTACAACAAAATATACCCTAACATCTACCATCCAAATCTCAATATTACATGAAAACCTAACAAAAAAAAAGGTAGGGGAAAAAATATATAAAATATATAAAAAACATAATATTAATTAAAACAAGTCAGGCTGTGAAAGCATGTAGTATGACTTTTATCGATTTCCCGAATAGATTACAAGAGCCTGGTATTTCTACCAGAAGGGGGTTCACACGGTTGAAGAAGCCTACTTATCGCTGCTTCTGTCTGGCGTGCGCTGCCAACACCTCTCACCGGATCTCTATAACCATTGCGAAAATATATAACTTACAATTTTACACACATTCCCAATAAGAGAAAAAAATAGCATTTTATACCATTCACGCCCAAAGGATCAAAAATATATTGTACCAACGTGACAGAAAAGTCGCACGATCTGTGTTGAACGAAAAGGCGCATCGGGAACCGGTGGCTGAGCGAACAGAACACTGGGCGCGTGATCCTGTGGTCCCGGGTTCGATCCCGGGCGCCGGCGAGAAACAATGGGCAGAGTTTCTTTCACCCTGATGCTAATGTTACCTAGCAGTAAATAGGTACCTGGGAGTTGGTCAGCTGTCACGGGCGGCTTCCTGGGGGGTGGAGGCCTGGTCAAAGACCGGGCCACGGGGACATTAAGCCCCGAAATTATTTCAAAATAACCTCAAGATAACAAGATACAGGTATTAGAACCTACCGTGAACGATCCGTCGGAACAGGTGTTAGAACCTACCGTGAACGATCCGGGAGTCTCTAAGATCTTCGTGGCTACAATAATTAGACGAGGTATATTGGCTAAGATCCAGCCATTGCACCCTCCTTGAATTAAATACCAATGGTTGCGTTTTAAAGTTAAATTAAGGAAGGATAGATTAATTAGTTTAGTCATCAACTACCTATCCCGTGAGCAGTGGAAAGGGTTACAAAGGTTCACAATGGGGTTCAGAATGAACCTTTGACTTTCAGAATAGGACAACCCCCCCCCCCCCCTCCCACCCAGGCAAATAACACACTAATGCTGTAACTGACTACAAATTCCAAAGATAACGCAAACTTATATAAAAGCTGAAAAACATATACACACATTATATTATATATATATATATATATATATATATATATATATATATATATATGCAACAATGATCACAAAAACACTGATCCAAGTATGCAGAATAACCACATATGAAAAATAGAAAATGCTTAACGCGTTTTCGGCTAATTCGCCTTCATCAGAGCAAAGTAGAATGACTTTGTTCTACTTTGCTCTGATGAAGGCGAATTAGCCGAAAACGCGTTAAGCATTTTCTATTTTTCATATGTGGTTATTCTGCATATATATATATATATATATATATATATATATATATATATATATATATTTTTGTGATCATTGTTGCATATATATATATATATATATATATATATATATATATATATATATATATATATATATATATATATATATATATATAATTATATGCGAACAAGCCTGAATGGTCCCCAGGACAATATGCAACTGAAAACTCACCCCAGAAGTGACTCGAACCCATACTCCCAGGAGCAACGCAACTGGTATGTACAAGACGCCTTAATCCACTTGACCGGTCGTGATGGTCAAGTGGATTAAGGCGTCTTGTCCGGTCATGATGGTCAAGTGGATTAAGGCGTCTTGTACATACCAGTTGCGTTGCTCCTGGGAGTATGGGTTCGAGTCACTTCTGGGGTGTGAGTTTTCAGTTGCATATTGTCCTGGGGACCATTCAGGCTTGTTCGCATTTGTGTTCCTCACGTGTGCCCCAAAGAATGAGGTGATTTGGTAAAATGCTATGCCCAAGATTACTATCCGAGTGCCGGCAGTGGGGTGGTTCAAATAGCCTCTGCTATCACCTCATTATGTCCGGTCGTGATGGTCAAGTGGATTAAGGCGTCTTGTACATACCAGTTGCGTTGCTCCTGGGAGTATGGGTTCGAGTCACTTCTGGGGTGTGAGTTTTCAGTTGCATATTGTCCTGGGGACCATTTAGGCTTGTTCGCATTTGTGTTCCTCACGTGTGCCCCAAAGAATGAGGTGATTTGGTAAAATGCTATGCCCAAGATTACTATCCGAGTGCCGGCGGTGGGGTGGTTCAAATAGCCTCGGCTATCACCTCATTATGTTATGTGATGGTCAAGTGGATTAAGGCGTCTAAAATTATATATATATATAATAATTATATATATAATTATTATATATATATATATATATATATATATATATATATATATATATATATATATATATATATATATATATATATATATACATATATATATACATATATATATACATATATATATACATATATATATATATATACATATATATACATATATATATATACATATATATATACACATATATATATACATATATACATACATATATACATACATATATATATATATATAAATATATATATATATATAAATGTGCATGCACATGCAATGGAAACCATCCCATTTTTTTGGCTACGAGGTAATTGACTAAAAATTGACAACGGTCGTTTAACACGTTTTCGCACACAGTCGCTATAACCATAATGCTGCCAGCCGGGTAGTTTTTGGCTTACGTCAGACACCAATAGCGAGGATGATCAGACCCTCAACTAGGCCTGATCAGAAGTGCAGTGACTCATGACCAACGACAAGGGAGCCAGGTAAATACACGTTGTAACACGTGCATGGGTTTCAGCACACCCATGCATGGCTGTATTTGTAGCGCGAACACGTGCGTGTTTGACAGTCCACTGCCTCCAGACTCCTCAAGTCCCTTACGTCACTGACACGTTCTATCGTTTGGCGGGTTCTTTACCTCACCACAAACATGCCATGTTTTGGGTGGGGTGTGCGACGAGGGGGGGGGGAGGGAGGGAGGGAGGGAAGATAGTAGACGGTTGGTGTGGGGGGGGGGGGGGGGTAAAATTAAGTAATGATACGGTTAATAATTAAGTAATGTTTGCTCCTCAGCTCTCTCTCGCCTATTTATTGCCTGTCTCTACTTCCTCATCACGAGGTCACGACCTCTCCATAGAGTGCAGTCGTACCTCCACAGATCTCCAGTATCAGCTAATGATTCTGGTAATGGCTCCAAAGGGCCACCACTTACGGGCTATTCATGCCCGTACCACCTTTTGGGTGGCTTAATCTTAATCAATCAATCAATTCCTCATCACAATCGACTTGAGAATGGTCCAGGACGGACCGAAACGTCGTCGTCCCTTCACCTTCTAGTGTGGTTATCTTGAGATTATCTTGAGATGATCTCGGGGCTTTTTAGTGTCCCCGCGGCCCGGTCCTCGACCAGGCCTCCACCCCCAGGAAGCAGCCCGTGACAGCTGACTAACTCCCAGGTACCTATTTACTGCTAGGTAACAGGGGCATTCAGGGTGAAAGAAACTTTGCCCATTTGTTTCTGCCTCGTGCGGGAATCGAACCCGCGCCACAGAATTACGAATCCTGCGCGCTATCCACCAGGCTACGAGGCCCCGAGTGGTCTGGTCAACATACTTTAGCCACGTTATTGTGACTCATCGTGTACTACCTAGAGTAGAATATTGTTGCACATTAAAAGCCCTATTCAAAGCTGGAGAAGTTGCTGATCTGAAGAACGTGCAGAGAACTTTTATTGTCTGAATCTATTTACTAAAACTTCTTAACAGAACCTGAAAAATAATAAAGGTACCTTTTACATCCCACCGGCTTCCTGTCCCCGTCAAGGTCACTAGAGATGATGGCCCTCAAGTAAATCTGTACCAGAAATAATTCCTTGCGAGATCAGAGGCTGTAAAAGAACCTAGTTGAACACACACACGGGGTATAATAGGTACTCTCAGACAATGCTATAAACGTTAGGTACACTTTGGCTACTCAACACTACCTCGAAATGTAAGGAATCATAACTTGCCAACCTCTTGCCGTTCAAGAGGAAATTAATTAAATACCTCTAAGGGTACATTATCAATTGGGGTGTAATTACCTAAGTGCAGTTACAGGATGAGAACTGCGCTCGAGGTGTCATGGTACTCTGCCATATGACACTGAAACTACTGACAGTTTTGGCTTCCACCACCTTTTCACCATTTCGAACCGTCTACCACTGCAAAAGTAAACTTTCTAATGTTTTTACAGTATCCCACAGCCTGGTTGATCAGACTGTCATCCAAGCCTGTCAGAGACTGGGTTGCAGAGACAGATTCTTTAATTCAACTAAAAGTGGGTTATGGCGAGGACACGCTGTTCGTGGTGGTTATATGTGATTAGTGGCATTTGGTGATACAGTGTTGTGACTCAAATGAATATGAATAAACTAGTTAAGCTCTCTCTCGAAGTATGAGAATGGCGGAAACATTTATAGGTGTATGAATAGGAAGAATATGGAAGAAAGCATGGCAAAGAATCGGGATGAAAATAGCGAGCTACCTCATCCCTTTGTGTGAATTTTACCTCAATAAACTTATTTCAAATTTCAGTATGGCACAGGCAGAAGAGGCGTGCTAGGCGTGCTGGGATACCAGCAACTGTCAGAATCCTCCAAGTGTGTCCACCAATTATGTGAATCAGGGTGGTAACT